AATGTAGAAGACAGGTGGATGGGTGTGAAGCCCAAGGTAGGAGATTATTGGGAGGTGATTACGAGTCCAGGCAAGATGCAGCCTAGAAGTCAGGCAGTGCAGGGGGTAGGTCTAAGAATGGAGAGGTAGACCAGACATGACCTGGCCACCAGCTAGGTTTGGGCAGTGAGAGGTTGAGGGGGTCAGGAGGACCCTAGCTGGTTGGGTTTCTGTTGCTGGTCTCCAAGATGGGAAATACAGGGAAAGGAGTAGTTCTAACAGTGGGAGAAGCTGGGCTGTTGACCATTGTTAGCATACTTTGTGAGATGAAGTGGGGGTCTCTGGAGCCTGTATACAGTGTTCAGAAGTGTAGAATTGGATCTCATCCTGCTATCTCCATCCTCCCTCCCCTCACAGGGCTCACCCCTCCAGCTACCCCTCCCCATCAGTTATGGAAGCCCCTGGCTGCTGTTTCACTGCTGGCTAAAGCCAAATCTCCTAAGTCTACCGCCCAGGAGGGAACCCTGAAGCCTGAAGGAGTTACAGAGGCCAAACATCCAGCTGCAGCCCGCTTCCAAGAAGGGGTCCATGGCCCTAGTCCAGTCCATGTGGGCTCTGGGGACCATGACTATTGTGTCCGGAGCAGGACCCCCCCAAAAAAGACGCCGGCCCTAGTCATTCCAGAGGTGGGCTCCCGGTGGAACGTCAAACGCCATCAGGATATCACCATCAAACCCGTCTTGTCCCTGGGCCCAGCCAGCCCTCTTCCCCCATGCACAGCTGCCTCCCAGGAGCCACTTGATCACAGGACTAGCAATGAGCAGGCAGATACTCCAGCCCCCTGCCTTGCCCCATCTGCCTTGCTGTCCCCTGAGGCCTCACCCTGCCGGAATGACATGAACACTAGGACTCCCCCTGAGCCCTCAGCCAAGCAGCAGTCAGTTCGCTGTTACCGAAAAGCCTGCAGGTCAGCCAGCCCCCCAGGCCAGGGCTGGCAGGGCCGCCGTGGCCGCAGCAGCCGTTCTGTCAGCTCTGGGTCCAACCGGACCAGCGAAGCATCTTCCTCCTCATCCTCATCGTCGTCTTCCTCATCCCGGTCCCGGTCCCGGTCCCTCTCCCCCCCACACAAGAGGTGGCGAAGGTGAGCTCTGATGGCCTGTTAGGTCCTCTCTGCTTAGGAAGTTCATAAACTCTACTCTGGTTTACTTTGAGAGCTTTTGTACATTGAGTTGGATACTTTCAGGCACTGAGGCTTCTATTTCTGTCTTCGGCTTTTTCTTCTCCCCCTTTTCTGGATTGTTGAAGGAGGTAAGCTGTGAGAACATAGATAGCTTCTGTCCCCTGTTGGACTTTGGGATATCTGAGGTCTCCTGATTTCTGGAGACCTACCTTGGGGAGACCATTAGGGTGTGATCTTGACCATGTTGATTCCTTTGCATACTGTATCAATCCTCATTTATGGTATCTTCCTGATGGTATGTGAGACAGTGGGCTAGTGGGTTGTTAATGGCAGATAGTCCTTTAATCATCTGTTGAGAAAAAAGTCTGGGACAGTTCCTTTGGGTGTCACAATGGCCTCATCTGTTTTCTGGCAGTACTTTTTTCTCAGTAATAGACCCAAATTTTCCCACTGAATCAATGAATTTTTGTTTTTTGATGGTGAAGCTTGTTTTCAGAAATGGCTGCTAGCACAGGTCTAGCACAGTCACCTCCCCTTAATGCCCTGTTGATAGTACTTTTATGAGACGTGAAGGAAGGAGGATCCCAGAGACCCAGACCTGACATCCCAGCTAGCTGTAAGACCTGGGGCCCAGCCCTTTATCTCTGAGTCTCCATTTTTTTCTTTTCTGATTTATTAAATACTTTTCAATGTTTAATTGCATAATTGAAAATAAATATGACCTGTGCCAAAACACTCTAAAACATCTAAAGTTCATAAGGTTCTCAGTTTGGTCATCTGCGAAGAATTCTAGACCTCTTCTGCTGTGCTTTGCGTTTGGTCCTGAGCTTCCTGACGGAGGCACGGCTGGGGCCAAGGTGAGGCAAATGAAATATACCTGTGCCCCTCCCAGCATTACTGCCTGCCCCTTTGTTCTCCAGGTCCAGTTGCAGTTCCTCTGGACGTTCCCGAAGATGCTCTTCCTCTTCCTCATCATCATCTTCCTCTTCCTCTTCCTCATCCTCATCATCCAGTTCCCGAAGCCGGTCCCGCTCTCCATCCCCACGCCGGAGAAGTGACAGGAGGCGGCGGTGAGTGTGTTTTCCAGGGAGTCAGTGTACCTGGGATGCAAGTGCCTGCAAGTTCTGAGACTTGAGCTGTCTTATGTCTGGGGGACTGACAGCACCTTCTCTTTGTCAGGTACAGTTCTTATCGTTCACACGACCATTACCAAAGGCAGAGAGTTCTGCAGAAGGAGCGTGCAATAGTGAGTAGAGGAACAGGTCTTGGGAGGAGGGGGCTTGCTTGTCCCTGAACCATGAGCTCAGAGAGCCATCTGCAGTTGTGTCCCTGAATCATGGTGTGTTAATTTCCTTGATACAACATAGGAAGAGAGAAGAGTGGTCTTCATTGGAAAGATACCTGGACGCATGACTCGGTCAGAGCTGAAACAGAGGTTCTCCGTTTTTGGAGAGATTGAGGAGTGCACCATCCACTTCCGTGTCCAAGGGTAAGGTTGGACCCTAAGGTCAGGATGTCCTTTCTGTCCCATTTATCTGCCTTGATGCTTTTTTGTCTTTTCCCCCTTGCTCTGGTGTGCTGGGCTATGTAGGACACTCTTCATTTCTACAGAGGGTTGGTCATTTGGGGAATGAGAAGACCCACCCCAGTCCCTCACTGTACCCCGGAAGCCATCTCTTCTCTATTGCATGTGCCCAGACAGCCATCTCAGCCTCTTTCTCACCCTCCCCACCAGTGACAACTACGGCTTCGTCACTTACCGCTATGCGGAGGAGGCATTTGCAGCCATTGAGAGTGGCCACAAGCTGAGGCAGGCAGATGAGCAACCCTTTGATCTCTGCTTTGGGGGCCGCAGGCAGTTTTGCAAAAGAAGCTATTCTGATCTTGGTGAGTAGGGGGAGGCCCTGTGCCTTTGGTATACTTCCTCTTCTCTCCGGAAGGGTCCCCAGCCCTTTGAGAGGGAGATTAGGTAGGCAGATTTGTCTTTCTCTGACAGATGAAGAGCCTAAGGGGTGGGATGAGAGGAAAAATGGGGGGCCTCCTGTCTTTTGACTTAAAAGCTGGGCAATTTTAGCTCCATCCATTATTGGGATGGGAGGTGGCGGGCCATTTGAAGACCCTGAAGTTGGGAAGTGTGCTCGGGGGACCTTGATGTTTGTCTCTTTCTACTTTTATAGACTCCAACCGGGAGGACTTTGACCCTGCTCCTGTAAAGAGCAAATTTGATTCTCTTGACTTTGACACATTGTTGAAACAGGCCCAGAAGAACCTCAGGAGGTAACCCTGGGCCCTTCTCCCCTAATCCCCCTTTTCTTTGGAGGTACCCAACCTCCTCCACCCCTCCCCCACTCTAGGGGAGAGAGCTGCTAGTGAGGAGATGACTGTTTTATAAAGAAATGGAAAAAAGTGAAATAAAAATGTGTTAAATCAGATTTTTTTAAAGGTTATTTGTTTTTTATAACAGGCATTGAAACACGGTCACTTACATTCCCATGTAAGAGGGATGGGGCTCCCCCAGTGTTTGGAAACTCTAAGTTACTATGCAGACTAATAAACATAAATTAGAGAGAACTCTCAAGTGCTGCTGTGCTTCTTTCTGTGGAGCTAGTACTAGAAAAGTCCCTTTTCCTCTCTGAACACAACAGGGACATGCTTACCTCATTTAGTTCTTAGAACCCCTCATTGATCAGGTGCAAAATTCTTTTGGACTTGAAACTTTGCTCCTCAAGAATGTTCTCAGTGAAATCAGTCATCTAGAGCAGTGCTTCTCAGATTTTAAAAGGGCATTTGAATCATCTGGAGATCTGTTTAAAATGTGGATTCTGACTTCTGGCATAGGGCCTGAGATTCTGTATCTCCAACAAGGGGATGCTGCTACTGGTCCAGAAAGGAATTTTAATATCAAGGACCCAGAGGAAGCTCACACTTGTTCCAAAATAAACTGCAGCTTGTGTGTACATGGATCACATTAGTTGGAACAGAATGCTTGGTACCCAGCAGGTGCATAGATGCATGCATGTGGATAGACCTTTGGGGAAGGGGGAGTTACACCGAGGAGAGGGGAGTGCCTACTTCGAGAAAGGCAAAAGGGGAGGTGGTTGGGAGGTTTTCTAGTTCTCCCACTGGGAGAGTTCATGGTAAACTAACCTACGCGGTAGAAGGGTTGTTTTCAGGATTATAGGTTTGAAGAGACTGCTGCTACTACTCAGGTTTGGTGCACAACCCCTTTTCTCTTCATGGAGCGGACCTGAGGCTATCTGAGAGTGGAATGGGTTGTCTTATGGGCGAATCATGATTAAAGGAGGGGCAGTTTTGAAGATTAACACCTCACCACTACAGTGGTGAGGACTTTATGGATCCTCTGTAATGGAGGTGGGAGTGCAGAGATGTGGGTGGTATTTTGAGAAGGGGCCTCCCAGGGTATTGGAGGCAATGAAGGTGAAGGGTGGGAAACCACTGGCAGCTCGATTGGGGTATGTTGGGGGATCTGACCAAGTTTACAGCGTTCAAGGACAGCGGAGCTCGCCGGCCCACTTATTCCTCCGACATCCGAATCCCAGGGGCACAGGCGACTGCTTCCCTGAGAAAAAGTGGCTCCAATAGAAAGGCAGGGCGCAGGAACGCCAGAGTTTTCCCGCCACGGCCGAGGGCGTGAACCCTGACGTCAGGGCCCCGCCCTTACCAAGATGGCGACACTCGTGAGACCGGAAAGAGTTTGTAGATTCCGCCTTGACCCGGCCTCCGAGGTGGGGGCGGGACTGCCCTGCGGAATGTGCCCGCCTCTTCCGCGGTGCCCCGCGCGGCGCGATGGCGTCATGGGTCCGCCCCTACCCCTCCTGTTCCGGGTTCCTGAGTCGTGTGCGTCGTCGACGGTAGTGACGCGTATTGCCCGGAGGATGGCGGACGCCGGCTTGCGCCGCGTGGTTCCCAGCGACCTGTATCCCCTCGTGCTCGGCTTTCTGCGCGATAACCAGCTCTCGGATGTGGCCAATAAGTTCGCCAAGGCAACCGGCGCTGTGAGTCCCAGGCTTGGGGCACCGGCTGGGGTGGGATGAGCACAGGGCTGCCGGCTCTGGCATGCTTAGGTTTGCGGGTAGGGAGGTCTGTGGGGTCCGCGAGCCCAGTGTCTGCCAGGCCTTTGTGCCGAGCTCACGGCGGTGACCGGTAAAAGCCTGGAGTCTCGGCATCTCTTCTTCCACGAGGTCTTACTACATAGCGCAGAGCCTTGTTGCTTTTTTCTTGTGAGCGGTGCTGCGGCGGCAGCGTGGGACCCTCGTGGCCTAGGTCACGTGGCTGGCGGAGTGTGGCTAGGCGGGAGCGCCGAGTTCCACTGGAGATGTTAGAGGCTCCTGGTTCCATCCTTGGGCTTTACGTTTGCTGATGCAGAACGGGACTTGACCTTACTTCTCAATCGAGTGTACCCGGGACTCAAAGTTAAGTAAAATTGCTTTAGAAATAACGAAGGTTGAGATTTCCGTTAGTGAAAAAGAAAGTGAACCAGAGTAGAGAGATAGGATTCTGCTTTTAATTATACTGAAGCAGGATTGAGCATCATAGCCCTACCAAGCCGGCATATCTGTTGGCTTGGATCTTTGACTTCTGCCATCAAACAAATCTAGGTTTGGGAACAACCTCTGCCACTTAAAACGTATGGCCGGGCCACTTGCTTGGCCTCTTTGAAACTGTTTCTACTCCTATGAGGATGTCGTCGTCCACTTTATAGAATTTTTGTGAGTTTCAGTAACATCATATATACAAAATGGCAATACCATTGCCTGGTGCTCACGAAGCATTAGTGAGTGAAAGCTGATATCTTAGTTATGGTAACTTAGGAAGTTCCAAGAACTTGTAAAAGTAAGATGACCAGGAATGTGAAAGGTTTGGAATCTGTATCTCAAGGAAAGCAGACATGCCTTCATGGGGAAACACCCTCAGGAACGGTAGAGTAGAGTTGTAGTCCTTGGAAGTCTTAGTCTTTGACTGAGAAGATAGGCTTGTTCTTTGTGGCAGAATCAGGCAGCACAAGGAGAGAATTAGATCAGCCTCAGAAAGAACTTCCTTAAGCCATGTGGTCTAGTACAACTGATTTCATGATGGAATTGTTAGAGAAGCTGCTGAGAGTGTTTCCACAGTGGGCTGGATGGAATTGGGTCTTTTAGAATTAGGAATCTTTTATATGACAAAAACTAATCTTTATGGAGGGCTTACTAAGGGCTAGATGCTGTTTCCAGATGCTAAGCTCTTTATATGCATTATTTCTTATTCTCTCAACAAATTAGATATGTAGTATTACTTATCTTATAGGGAAGAGGACAGTCTCAGAACGATTAAGTGATTTGCTCAGGGTCACACAGAAATAACTGGCAGAGGTGACTTTCACATCTACTCATCTAACTGAGCCTGTGCTCGTGTGTACTGTAATGCCTTGCTATTTTGGGGGGCACCAACTTGTAATCTATATCAGTGTAATTAGTAGCTGAATGCAATTCTGTACTGAATGTGTAACATAGGTTTTTACTAATCTTCTCTTGGAGGTTGAGTTCCAATGATTTGATATTATAAACCATGTTGTAGCAAACATCCTCTTGTACAGATGTTTGTTTCATGGGTAAGGATAAATTCCTGGATAATACACTGCTAGACTAAAGGGAATGTACATTTTTAAAGGCTTTGATAAGTAGGATTGACAGGCAGGGGATAGATGGTGCCAGAAACTACAGGAATAGCTCAAGTTTTTGATACCAAAAATTGGAAAATATATAAATAGAATATTTTTCTCTTAGTTTATGCAAGTAGGAAAAGTCTTACAGCAATGTAACATTTCTACCAAGTATAGCAGGTATAAAGCAAGTCACTTTTAATGAGAGAATAACAAAATCTGAACTCTCATAGACTAACCAGGGTAAAATTTTCTTACCTTGATCTTTCTCGTTTCTCTTACAGACCCAGCAGGATGCCAACGCCTCTTCCCTCTTGGACATCTATAGTTTTTGGCTTAAGTAAGTCTTCCCGGTGCCAATGTAGCTGTTGTCTCCCCCCCAAAATGGGCTGAGCTGTGTTCCTTGGTTTGGAAAGGTACTGATCCCCCAGAGGTTAGCCTAATCTACCTCAGCAGGTCCACCAAGGCCCCAAAGCGGAAGTTACAGGCAAATGGACCTGTGACTAAGAAGGCTAAGAAGACTTCATCCAGTGACAGCAGTGAGGACAGCAGCGAGGAGGAAGAAGCCCAAGAGCCTCCAGCTAAGAAAGCTGGTAAGGCCCAGCAGAAGTTGTAGTTCCAGGAAAAGGATTTGTAGCCTGTCTATACCACATGGCTGGTTCTTACTGGGACCTACTTTTGTTTAGCTGTACCTGCCAAGCGGGCCAGTCTGCCTCAGCATCCTGGAAAAGCTGCAGCTGAAACATCAGAGAGCAGCAGCAGTAGCAGCAGTGAAGAATCCAGTGATGAGGAGGAGGACAAAAAGAAAAAGCCTATCCAGGTTTGCAACTTTGGGAAAGAGAGAGATTGCATAAGGGAGTGGAAAGAAGAAACCTAAACTTGGCTTTTTTAGCTTGATGGTGGTGGGTAGACAACAGATGATAATGAGGTCTTTTAGAGATGTAGAAGCATGAAGTCTGGAAAGGATATGTGAGGTTGAAGTTGGGCCCTGAATCTAGAGGAAATTCAGTCCATTCTGCTTCCCTGGCAGTATCGGGTTTCTCTGGGACACTGTCTAGGACTCCAAGAAGAAGTATGTTTTGTGGACAGGTCCTGGGAGCTTAGGCAGGTACAGGGCCAGCAAATTAAGTGGCTGAACTTTTTGTTTATTAGTAAGAGCTTGTTGCCCTTTCCATATGCTATTCTGCTTAGCTTTCCCTTGCTCTTACTGCTCCATTCGCCTCTGAAAAAGAAGGTGCCTAGGAAGCCTTCTGTCTTGGGATGCCCTTTGAGTACCCAGAAACTCCTGCTGATTATCCTCATTGTGGGTTCTCTCACAGAAAGGAGTTAAACCCCAAGCCAAAGCAGTGAAAGCTCCTCATAAGAAGGCTGAGAGCTCTGATTCTGATTCTGACTCAAGCTCAGAGGATGAGGCTCCAAAGAACCAGAAGCCAAAGACAATACCCATGGCAGCTAAAGCTCAGGCTAAAGCGGCAGCCAAACCAGGTACTGTTTCTGTTCCCGAGAGGCTAGGCTGGGTACCAGGTTGCTTTGGGGACTGGTATGAAAATTGCTTATTCAGCGCAGTGGTGCAGTGGCACTGCTTGCTGAATTAGAGGTGTTGACTAGTGTCTCTTTTTTTTTTTTTTTTAACTTTTCACTAACAAGTAAGACATTTCATAATTAGGGGCCAGTAACTACAGAAATAGTCTGACAAGGGAAAACATGTTTTAAAGAATGGTGTCATTTTAGCATTTTTAGAGATACATTTCATAGACATTTACATTTCCACAAATTCCATTCTCTTGTGACTACTTACACGTCTATTTTTTTTATGCTCTTCACTGCCATTTTTCCTCCTGTATCTTCCATGGGACAAAGGAGAATTTTTACTTTCTTCATTAATTATCTGGTGATGAAGTTTAGGTTATGATTTGTGGGAGCTTCTCTGGCACCAGTGAAAGTTGGCATGAAAGACTTCAGGGGGCATATTTAAATGATTTGCATCATGTCATTTTTTTCTTTAAGACAGCTTTGTTGCTGAAATTGGGCATTAAAGTTATCCTTTGGTACAGTAAACCACAGCCTTCTTTACACCTGCTCCAAAAGCAAGAGAAGTGAGAGACTGCTAAGTTCAGAGCTAATAGGAAAGAGGTTTTTATGGCCGTTTAACACCTAGGTGCGCTTTACAAAGTTTCTTTTTTCTTCTTAGGTTCACCAGCTCGGGCAGCACCTGAAGTAGCCAACGGCAAAGCAGCCAGCAGCAGCAGCAGCAGCAGCAGTAGCAGTGATGACTCTGAGGAGGAGAAGGCAGCAGCCATCTCTAAGAAGGTCTGAGCCTTGACTTCTGCCAGGGAGGAGGGGGCAGGGGACAGAGGTGTGGGTCTCCCTTTCCTGGCAAGGATTGATTGGGTCAGCATTTTCCTGTGGCAATTAATTTTCTCTATGTGATGCAGACCATACCTAAAAAGCAAGTTGTGGCCAAGGCTCCAGTGAAAGCAGCTGCCCCCCCGGCCCCGAAGAGTTCCAGCAGTGAGGACTCCTCCAGTGAGGAGGAGGAAGAGCAGAAGAAAAAACCCGTGAAGAAAAAACCAGGTGACTGGACATGGGGAGTCAAGCTGCATGACTGTAACCAGGCCCAGTTGCAGAAGGACCTCTGCTGTCCCCATGTGGACCTCTCCATAGAGCCACGTGGCATGATGGCTAGCTTCTCCCAGAGAAAGCCTCATTGCCTCTTATAACCTAGACTCAGAAATAACACACCATCATCTCTGCCATGTTCTGTTAGAAAAGAGTCACTAATCCTAACCCATGCTTAAGGGACGGGGAGTTAAGCTCCATTTCTAGAAGGGAGAGGTATCAAAGAATTTATGGACATTTTAAAGCCACCATGCTGTCCTTTTTAAACAGGTCCCTATAGTTCAGTCCCCCCGCCTTCTGTTCCCCCACCCAAGAAGTCTCTGGGAACCCAGGCTCCCAAGAAAGTTGCAGAGAAGCAGCAGCCTGTGGAGAGCAGTGAGGACAGCAGCGATGAGTCTGGTGAGTTGTCAGCTGTGGTAAGCGGGTCTGGGGAGTGTATGAGGACTAGGGAAGACAACGCTTCTGCCTCTTCTGCTTTTTCCTGAATTGAGACAGGGCTAAGGCTCTATGTGGGTCTTTGCATCCTTCCTTTTATTGCCCCTGGGCGGGTCAGGACTCTGGACCCAGTCTGATGCGATAGGTTCTCTCCAGATTCAAGTTCTGAGGAAGAAAAGAAACCCCCAGCTAAGGCAGTCATCTCTAAAGCCACCACTAAACCAGCTCCAGCAAAGAAGGCAGCAGAGAGCTCTTCAGACAGCTCAGGTAAGGCGTATGGAGGCCGTCAGTGGGAGCTTCAAGGGCTCTCCTCAGCCTGGTTTGGGGAGCTTTTCATTCTCTTCTCCCTGTCCAGACTCAGACAGTTCTGAGGATGAAGCTCCTGCCAAGCCAGTCAGTACCACCAAGAATTCCACAAGTAAGCCAGCTGCCACTCCCAAGCAGTCCACAGCTAAGCCAGCCACCACTCCAAAGCAGCCTGCAGGCAGTGGCCAGAAGCCTCTGACCAGAAAGGCTGATAGCAGCTCCAGCGAGGAGGAGAGCAGTTCTAGTGAGGAGGAGAAGATGAAGAAGACTGTAGCCACCCCTAAGTCCAAGGTGATGGCCAAAGCAGCTCCATCTTTGCCTGCCACGCAGGCCTCTCAGGGTGGTGGGGACAGCAGCTCTGATTCGGACAGCTCCAGCAGTGAGGAAGAGGAGGAAGAGAAGACGCCTAAACCCGCAGCTAAAAAAAGGGCACAGAAGGCAGCAGGAGCCATAACCCTTTCCAAGCCAGCCTCTGCGAAGAAAGCAAAGGCCGAGAGCAGCAGCAGTTCTTCCTCTGATGATTCCAGTGAGGAGGAGGAGGAGAAGCCCAAGGGCAAGGGCACTCCAAGACCACAAGCCCCCAAGGCCAATGGCACCTCTGCACTGGCTGCCCAGAATGGAAAAGCAAACAGGGACAGCAATGGGGAAGAGGAGGACAAGAAAAAGGCAGCAATGGCAGTTTCTAAGCCAGGTCTGTATCCAAAGAACCTGCCTCCTGGTTTGTCCCCCCAAATCAGGATGGGCTATACTCTTGGGGGATGGGATAGGGCACAGAGGCCCATATGGCTTCCAGTTGCAGGCCCTTGGTGTGGGTACCTGGGAGGAACAGGAAACTGATCTGAGTCTGGCTTTTTGTTTCATAGGTTCAGGAAAGAAACGGAAGCAAAATGAGGCAGGCAAGGAGGCAGAGTCTCCTCCAGCCAAGAAAATAAAGCCCCAGACCCCCAACACATTTCCTAAAAGGAAGAAAGTAAGTTGTCTTATTTTCCTCTTAGGGACCGGTCTTTAGAGTAGAAAAGGAAACCTTGAGTCATCTTGACAGCTCTTTGCCTGGCCTGGCGCACAGGGTTATGCCTGCACACAGGTCAGGAGGCCACTTCATCTTTAATTTTCTACCTCACTCTTCACCAGGGAGAAAGAAGGGTGTCTTCCCCGTTCCGAAGGGTCAGGGAGGAGGAGATCGAGGTGGATGCTCGAGTGGCAGACAACTCCTTTGATGCCAAGGTGAGGAGAGAGGGTGTGCACCATTCTTGAGCAGGGTTGGGTAGGAGAGAGGACAGCTTTTGGTTCTGGTAGGCGGAAAGCTCTCTGGGTTTGGGTTGCCTGGAGTAGAGAGAAGAAAGTGACAGTCCCTGGTGTTGTCCTATGTGCTAACCACCTTTCTCTGCTTACCAGCGAGGTGCAGCCGGAGACTGGGGGGAGCGAGCCAATCAGGTTCTAAAATTCACCAAAGGCAAATCCTTCCGGCATGAGAAGACCAAGAAGAAGCGGGGCAGCTATCGGGGAGGCTCCATCTCTGTCCAAGTGAATTCCATTAAGTTTGACAGTGAATGACCTGGGGCTGTTCGTGGCATAGCAGGGGTGATCATCTGAGACCACTTACTTTTCCCAGTGGACCTGGGAACCCCAGCTCTGTTGTGGTGGGGGGAGTCTTGGTGAAGACAGCAGTTTAGGTCTGAAGACTGCATCATAACATCCTCTGAGGTCCTTTTTCTGTGTTCGTGGTTTTGTACAGGTTTGTTTTTGAGTGTTGGGTAGCAAGGACAAGGTGAAGGGAGTGTTCTCTTTTTAAAGAAAATTTTGTCTTAGTTGTTCCCTCTTCTCTGTTCTGTGGAAGTCCTCATACTGAGAAATTTGTATATTTTATATTAAATCATTTCCTATTGAGTTTTGTTATTTTCAGAGGTGGGTTCCCACAGAGAAAATCTTAAGCTACCGCCCAAGACACAGCAAAGGTCACGTGTGAGTTTTTATAAGTGGCGAATTCTGCCTATGTGAGTGCTCATGCCCACATTTCACCCCTGCTACCCCGAGGCAGTTAAGAATGGTTAATGTATATATCTGTTAAGCATGAACTATGTACCTCATTCATGGGGTCTAGGACTGAAGTTTTCAGCCAGCATGGACTTACCTACTTTTGGGGGTAAAATTTACTGTTTTACAGGCAAAATTCTGGTGTGGTGTGAATGCCCTGGGGTCAGTCTGAATATTTTGTTTTCTGTAATTTTATTATTACATAATGTTTGCAATACATGTTTTTTAATTTGAAAGGCGTGAACTTTTTTATTTTTCAAAGACTTTTTTGGACTGGCTTGACCCTTAATACTTACAGTGTTGAGTACTAAATTGAGGACTACATCTCTCTCTTTTTTTTTTTTAACATCTTAGAGGACAAAATAACATTAATCTGAAAAGTACACATCACTTGGTATTTCTATCATGGTAGCAGTGGTGACAGTTTCATTAACTACTACAAGGTTGGGAATCACTGATGAAGAAAGAGGAAGAAGAAAACCTATAGTTAAAAACCTCAGTCCTCAGTAGGAACTAGGTTAGGTGAATTTATAGGTAACCTATATATATGCTAATGGAGATGGGAAGAACCTTCACAAAGCATATTATCTGGTAAAACTTGAGTTGAATGTGGTTGAGAGAGCATCCTAATAGGATTGTTGTGTCTTTTAGTTGGTACATGGGAGCAACTGATGTGCTCCCTTGAGAACTTTAACTGTCAGTAACAGTAAAAACCAGTGAGCAGAGATGTGACTCTTAGGCCAAGCAGGCTGATTGTGAAGCTATAGGAGACAACTACTGTTGGCACTGCTTGGCCAGAGCAAGGTGGGGAGGGAAGAGTCTAAGGAGCTCTCTGGAGGCTGGGCTGTCCCTTTGGTGGGGCAGTGCTCTAGCTTTATGGATGAGGTGTAGCTGAAGATCAGCCTCCCCTTGTTTGGGTTCAAGTAACCTGATAACCTGGTTTTCTGTGTAACTGCCTCTAGGAAGAAAATGTGCTCTTCATGCCGACAGAAGTATTCAGTCTGCATGGTAAAAGTTCTACATCTTACTACAAAATAATAAACTGGCTGGTTTATAATGTGTCTTGGGAGTTTTATTAATGTGAGTCCAGAGCCCTCCTACCTCCTACCAGAACAACTTGAGTTAGAGGCCTTGGGGTCCAGACTTGTGAGTTCACTGTGGAGCCTTCTTGGTAGCAGCTTGCTGGCTCTTCTTGGCCATACCTTGTCCCATGGTGCTTTTTCCAGGCAATAGTCCAGCCTCTGCATAGTCTAAATTGGGGGTTGGCAAAATGGCCTGTGGGCCAGAGCCAGCCTGTGGCTTGTTTTTTTATTGCTCAGAAGCTAAGAATGGTTTTTATATTTTTTAAAGGGCTTAAAAAAAGGGAAACTGACATGACAGGCTTTATGTGGCCACAGAGTGTACAGTATTTACTATCTGGCCCTTTACAGCTTGCTAACCCCTGGCCTAAATCAGTGGTTTCACAACACTGGCTGAAAATTAGAATTATCTGGGGAGCTTAATTAAAAACACTGATACCCAGGGGCCCATCTCTCAATCAAATGAGTCAGACACTGGTGTGCTCTGGTGGAGTCTGGGAGTTCAGATTTTTAAAGCTCTCAGGTAATTCTAATGAGCAACCAGAGTTGAAAATTGTTAAGAGTATTTGAAAAGAAGTAATTTTTTTTCTTACCTCCTCTCGTGCTTCCATCTTCAAATGTACTTGTTAAATCTAACAGTATAAAGTGAAAAATTCCCATCTCATCTTAGCCCTGGGATTTGATTCTTGTGTCTCTTTCCAGAGAGAGCTTCTCTGTGTGTATTACCATAAGCTTCCTCCCATTTCTTCTTACACGAATGGAGTAGCTTATATGCAGTGTTTTGTAACTTTGGGGCTCATTTTTAAGGACTGTGTGGTACCCCTCTGTATGGAAATAGCATAAGTTATTTAAACCTTATTGGTAGCTGGTTAGGTTGTTTTAGTATTTTGCTATGAATGGTGCCACAGTGGATGTTTTATACATGAGACATTGAGTATTTGTGAATATTTTTAATAAATATTCTAAGTGATTGTTGGGTCAGAGCATATGTGCATTTAACATTTTGCTCATCATTGCCTTTCAAAACCATTGTACCAATTTGCATTTCCAGCGACCAACAGTTTATGAGGACACCTCTTTGCTTGCCCTGTTGCCAACACCTAACAAATTGGTCTTTCCCACTTGGGTAAATGAAAATGCTCTCTTTAAGTGTATAGTTTGATAGCGTTAAGTATATTGACATTGTGCAACAGATCTCTGATTTTGACTATTTTAGGTAATTTGTATGAATGGAATCATACAATATTGGTCCTTCTGTGACTGGCTTATTTAACTTAACATAATGTCCTCAAGGTTTAACCATGTACATTGTAGCAAGATTTCCCTTTTCAAGGCTGCATAATAATTCCATTGTATGTATATACCACATTCTATTTATCCATTTTGTTTTATTTTGGATTTCTCTTACATATTTAGACATCTGTATTTTCTTTTCTATGAAATGTGACCAACGCTGTCCCCTATTTCATTTAAATTATTTATCTTTTTCTATGATAACTAAGTGCTCTTGATACATTAAAGAGATTTGCCCTGAATCATAGGTTGCAAATATTTGGTTTTCAGGCATTTTCATCTTAAAATGGAATACAATATACACCTATTAACTTTTCTCCTTAAAATAGACAAATTTTAAGCTTCCTATTTATTGTTTAAAGCTATGACTTGTTTTTTCTTTTGCATTTTATAAACATAACCCTTCCCAGTCTTATTTACTTTTTAAATTTAACAGATCTCTGTTTCCCTTAGGCCTTGCAAAGCTGAACCTGCTACATACATGCAGCTGACATGTTACACAAGTGAGGCAGTTGAGCAGATTGTCTAACAGCATTTACTAGGAGTCTGCTTTTTCATTTAAAATGAGAGTATTCTCTCATGTCTGTAAAATCTGACCAACCCAGAGGGCTGCTGTAGGGTCTGAGAATTTATCTAAAGCACTTAGTATAGTCCTTAGCACACTGTAAGCACTCCACGCTGCCACTTGCACAATAAGAGGTTTTGGGAGATGACAGTCCTTGGTGCCCTTGTGATGTGCATCATGCCATTTCAACAGAGGCTTGAATCTTGTTAATGTTAATGATTATACCCAGGCAGTGGACTTTATTTTGTGTGTGGATGTTTGATGTTGGTTTAGCACCTTCATTCGTGATGCCAAACACTGATGCGCAGAATTGATCCTACTAGAAACTTTAGTTTTGTGAGCGACCTGAATTCCCACCTGCTGATAGGTTCTGGCACTGTTGATGAAATCCACACATTACGTGAATGGCACACATGATGGCTTATGCCCCTCTGCAGTGTACCTTTCATGGATACAAGGCTGACTTACCAATACCCTTTTGTGGGTTTGTGTTTTACTGGTTATATCCTCACTGCCACCCAACCCAGTTAGGTGGGTTTTAACTAGACCAGAGTATCTCAACCTTGATACCATTGCCATTTGGGGCCAGATAATTCTTTGTTGTGGAAGACTGTACTGTGTGCTGTAGCATCCCTGGCCTCTGCCCACTAGATGCCAGTAGCATCCCCCAGTTTGGACAACCAAAAATGGCTCCAGATACTGCAAAACATACCCTTAAAGGCAAAATTGCCCTTAGTTGAGAACCACCGGGGAAAGAGCTGAGTTTAAAATGATTGCTTATGGTTGATAAAACTGCAGCTTAGTGGCATGTTGAGACAAGAGTCCAGGTCTCCCTAAAAATTGATCTACCTATATTTAACTTTGGTAGAGTGCCTACTTTTTACCAGCTATAGAACTCCCTTAGAATTCAGTGTCTAGTTGGGGAAGTCAAATATGGGAACAGTCCATACTCAGTGCCGAGTCCTGTCACCAGGGACCAGAGTAGCACACCCCCCCACCAAGGGAACAAGCAAGAAAAGACTAAGCTGAACCCAGGATTCTGAGGAAAATAGCAGGTGAGAAGGCACATACCATGCAAGGAAGAGGAAACATTTCCAGTGGGAGCAGAGAGCCTTTAGGATGGATCAAGCAGAGAGTATGTGGGAGGCAGGGGCAAGATAATACCTTCTGAAGATTCAATGGCAATGGCCTTTTGTACCCAAGTCAGGAGTTATAATTTATTTTGTTCACCTGGAGTATGTCAGGGGCTTGATTGTCAGTGCAATGCTCCTGGCACGAATATAGCTGCTGGGAAAGCAAATTCCCTACTGACCACTGAAGTTTATCCCCTGCCCATGCAAAGCTGGCTTAAGCTATCTGCAATTATTGAAGAGGCCAGTAGGTGGGGCTCTTTTACACTGCAAGATTTGGACTATAGTTGAAGCTTGGCAGCTTATTTCAGTGACATTCAACAAACTTGGAGAACCTGCTGTGAGCCTTTGGATACAGGCATAGGCCCTCATTTGAGGAACCTTGGTTCTGGAGAGTGGAGAGGAGAGGCCCTTCTGGACTCCAGTCTGTCCTGGTTATCTATGAAAGCCAGCAACAGGCAACATTGCTTGTAGAGGAACTGATGTTCACCATGGAACTCTCAACCTTAGCCTCAGGTCCTACAGGGCATTGGAGTTCCCGTAAGGGGGGCCAGTCACAGGTCCCACTGCTTATGGAGGCTGCAGACCTGTGTCCTCCATCAGCCTGGGAGTTCAGAGGCTCTGGAGCTCTCCCCTATCTCCCCTCCTCACCCAGCATAATCCCCTTATGTATCTCCAGGTTGAGAAGAACAAATGCCAGGCTTTCATCTTTGAAGTGGGTTGGACGGTAGGGGACTATAGAGTATTTCACTAAATTAGCCTGCCAGAAACAGAAATTCATCCATTCAGCAAGTATGAATGCTTAGTATATAGTAGGCACATAATTTGTGAGAGATGTTGAGGACACAATCATGAACGAACAAAAAAGACACAGGCCCAGTGACCAAAGTTTACCCAGGCTAATGAGAGGCAAAGATATTAATTCTCACATATAAATGTTTAAGTATAAACTTCACTGCAATGAAGGCAAAGTGCAAATAGCTATGAGAACATGTAACAGGGGATAATGACCCATGCAGTGGTGGGACTCCCTCACAGGTTGGGTAAGCATGTAATTTATCATCTAAACTGGGATGCTTTTGAGAGTGAAAGGAGAGCAACTGATAATTAGGCTGAGACAAACAGGTGTAGACTGAGACTCTCCAAGGCAAGCCAGGACACAGGTTTGCTGTGCTAATAGAAATCTTTACTGTGGAAGTGGTTCAGCCAAGACTTGAAGGTGAGAGTTAATTAGGTGCAGGTGAAGTTGTTGCCAACTCAGATCCTCGCACTCTTTAATCAATAAAAATTAGTAAAAGGCCAGACGAGGAATTCAGGCAAGGCTTTATTGAGACTCAAGTGAAAACAAGTAACAGGTTCCCTTGCTGGCTCTCGGAGGAGAGTGGTGCTGGTTCTTTAAATGGGGTGAGGGGAGGGGAGGATGGGTGGCTCGGGCTGCAGGGGTGGCTTAGGTGGTCTGCCCACTCTCCTTGGTGGTGCTGTGTGCAGGGATCATGCGCAGTACCCTGCTTTTGCTTCTGGCACCTCAGAAGTGTCGGTTTGTGGCCTTTTTGTATCATACTGTGCATAATTTTCCCCAACTGAGTATGCATGCAGTTGTTTTTAGTCCCTTATGGTTTCTTTGTATTCTGTTGCACAAGGAGACATTAGTCCAGGTGCAAGCACTTCAGTAAAGGGCCCCAGGTCCTTACCTATCTCAGTGGTACAGAATGAGCAAGGCTGTGTGTTTTACCAGTTAGAGGGCATAACATGTGCAAAGGCCTTTTGGTGAGAGGGAGCGTGATGGAGACCCCAAACTGAAAGAAGCCTTATGCAGCTGAAAGGCCGAGTGAGGAGGAGAGCAACTGAAGATGAGGCTGGAGAGGTAAGCAGGGACCTGGGAATGCAGGGCCTTGTAATGAGTGTCTGAGATTTTGGTCTTTAGAAGGCAACGGGAAGCTTTTTTGTTTAAGGTTTCACTTTTTAAAAATCTATATTAAAATATATAAAAATTTG